GACTTTTGCCCCGAGTCCAGTTCTGCCTCCTGGGACCATTAGGACCTGTCTAAAGCTTCTTCCCCTTCATGGCTGTTCACTCCTTGAAGACACTGCTGGTTGTGCGTCCCCCTCTGTCTTCCCCACCGTCCCAGCTCCCGTAGCCTTCGCTCGTTCGCCATCCCGGTGACGTCCTACCAGGCTCTCTCCCGTGGGGCAGCAGTCCTCTTATCGCTGCTACCCAGATCACCGTTCTCCAGCTGTGCTCTGAGCAGGACTTCACTTCCCGATTCCTGGAATTGTGCCTCTCTCAATGTCACTTAAAATGACATTAGCCCTCTTGGCAGATACATCCCACTCTTGTTTCTAATTAAGCTTGGAGTCCACTAAAACCAGTGGGCCTTTTCAGTCAGATGTCTGTCTAATCACACGTGGATTTGAAGTTGATTTTTTTCAACCCATATGTAAGACTTTACATTTATTCCTATTAAACTTCAACGAATTAGGTTTGGCCCTGTTCTAATTTGTCAAGATCCTTGCGACTCTTGACTCTGTCTTTCCACGTGTTAACTCTCCCTCTCGGTTCTGTGTCTTCTGCAGCTCTGATAAGCATTCCACCTGTGTCTTATCCAGGTCATGCTAAAAACATCAAAACAAGATCATGCCAGGCGCAGTTCCAGGGACACTCCACTGCAGACCTCTTCTGAAGTTGCCGTTGAACCTTTGTTGAGTATTTTCTGGCTTTACTCAGTCAGCAGGTGGCAGTCCAGCTAATTGTGTTGCCTTCTGGCTCCCATCTCCATCTTTTCCACAATGGAAACACGATGAACTTTGTCAGAGGTTTTGCTGAAGTCTAGTGGCACTTTGTCTGCGCTATGCCCCTGATCTCCCTTCCGTGATAATCCTGTCACAAAAGGGAATCAGGTTAGGTTGGCATGGCTTTTCTTTGATGAAGCCGCCATATTGGTTCTCTGTCATCACTGTTTCCTTTTCTAAATGTTCACTAACTGTTTATTTAATAATGTGTTCAGAATTTTGGCAGTGGCCTCGAGATTACAAGTTTTGCTTCTCCTTCTTGAAAATTGAGCAGATATTTATCCTTCTCCAGTCTTGTGCTGTCTTTCCTGAGCTCCGGGCTCTTTCACAAATCAGTCACATGGTTCAGCCACCAGTTTTCATTGTCATGCGAAAGTCAGGCATGGTGGCAGGAGAGGAGTGAATGGTTGGGTAATTTCTCAAAGCGGGGAGGGCGTTTCCTGGAGGAACTCATGAATCAGAGGAGAGCCCGGGGACAAAGGGATCTTCCAGGGTGAGAAGGCTGCTGGGGAATGGGAAGGTTCTGTGTCTCAGGCAAATCACTTCTCTCTGATCCTTGATTTTCTCATCTGTGAAATGATGATAATGTGAGGGTTGCTTTGAATATCCAGTGAGATAATGGATGGAAAGGTACTTGGTAAACTCAGAATCATCGTCCTCATTTTCAACACCATAGATGATAACTTTTTATTTGCCGTGTGGTGGTTGAACCGGTGTTTGTCTCTGCTTATTCATGAACTATAAACCAGTGGGCCAAGGAGGAGACCCTGAGCCAGCTCCCATTCTGGAGCATTTTATGGAATTAGAAACCCCCTCCTGTCTCTCTTGGAATCCCTGGCCTCCTTTCTGAGCTCAGCTCCAGCTCTGCCTGCTGTGTGAAGCCCTCCCCATCCCTTCCACCCTCTCTGCCCCCCTTGAGTGCCTGCTCCCCCGGGTGCCCTGTCTTTCCTCTGCTTGTCTGTCACACTTAGGGGTGGACACGTCGTTTCCCCAAGGGCAGGGTTTGTGTAGCTCTTCCTTCACATCCCCAATTCTTGGCGCAAACTAGGAGGAATTGACAAGTGCTTCTTGATTCATTGGTTGGTTTTATTTGATCAGCACAATAACGCTGTGAGTTAGGGGCTATTATTATATCCTTTTTTGACAGCTGAGGAAACTGAGGCTCAGATGCATGAGGTGATTTTTCCCAAGATTATGAAGCTAGTAACTGTCTTAAGTGAGATTTGAACCCAGGTCTTCCTGACTCCCAATACCAGCCCTTTCTCCACCAAGGGACGAAGCCCAGCTTTAGGTGATATTGTCACTGGGATGCCTGGTGCAGTGTAGATGGCGGCATCTGAGACAAGATCCTTTGGCCCAATCTGACAGGTGGGACATCCGTTCGTCTGGCCTAGGGGCATGGAGCACATTGAGAATCCCTTCTTGGGCTTGGATTCCTGCTGCTTTTCTGGGCATCCCTCACCCAAGCCTGATCCGGGCCTCTCTCTTGGCTCCCTTTCTCTGAATCTGTTCCGTAGCCTGGGATTGGCCTTGCTTCTGAGCCGGAGGGAGGCCTCCTTTTCTACTTGTCTTCCACTCAGCATCCCGCATCCCGCATCCCGCATCCCAGCTGCCAGCTGTGGCTCGTGACCCTGAAACGCTGAGCAGCATCTCCAGCATCCCGCCAGTGGCCTGAAGTCCGTCCTCAGCTCTAGGGCCTTTGGGCTGTCCCAGGGAACCTCGTCAGCCTTCACTGAAGGTGGAACCCATCCCTACCCCACCCAATCAGTGGTCAGGGCAGGGCTCATTATCAGATAGTCCTCCTAGAACTCTCTCCTTGGAAAGTAGAGGAGAACAAGAGGAGAGGAGGAGATGGAGGAAGTGGGAGAAGTGGGCGTGATTCAGCCCTTCCTTGTCCAAGCACTAGAGAGGCCGTTCTGAGTCCTCCAGGGAACCAGGGACATTCTGAAAAGGAGAAAAATTGATTGTACTGGGTCTCTTTCCCCTTTAAAAAATAAGTATATCTATGTGTATTTAATTTTGAACTTAAACACCAAATAAAATTAAAGCTAACATTTTACATGAAAACTGCAAACATCTGGCTTTTACTTTTAGGTTTATAATAAATTCAGCGTGTAACTTTCAAAGCTATCCTGCATATCTGTAGTTCCTTCTGGAGCTCTCCTTCTGTTTTCTCCTTCCTTCCTTCCTTCCTTCCTTCCTTCCTTCCTTCCTTCCTTCCTTCCTTCCTTCCTCCCTCTCTCCCTCCTTCCTCCTCCCTCCCCCCTCTCCCTCCCACCCTCCCTCCTCCCTTCCTTCCTTCCTCCCTCCCTTCCTTCCTTCCTTCCTTCCTTCCTCCCTCCCTCCCTTCCTCCCTTCCTTCCTTCCTCCCTCCCTCCCTTCCTCCTTCCCTTCCTTCCTCCTTTCTTCCTCCCTTCCTCCCTCCCTCTGTCCCTTCCTTCCTGCCTCAGATACTAGCCATGTGACCCTGGACAAGTCACTTCACTTCTGTTTGCCTCAGTTTCTTCATCTGTATAGTGGAGAAATAATAGTTGCATTTACCTCCCAGGGTGTTGTGAGGATCAAATGAGATAGTAATTGTAAAGCACCTAGCACAATGCCTGGCACATAGTAGGTGCTTACTAGATATCATTATTATTGTTATTGCTATATAAATGCTTATTCCTTTCCCTTTCTCTCTCTCTCTCTCTCTCTTCTCTCCTTCCTCTCTCTCTCCTTCCTCTCTCTCTCTCCTTCCTCTCTCTCCTTCTCTCTCTCTCTCCTCCTCTCTCTCTTCCTCTCTCTCTCTCTCTCTCTCTCTCTCTCTCTCTCTCTCTCTCTCTCTCTCTCTCTCTCTCTCTCTCTCTCTCTCTCTTTCTCTCCCCTCCCTCACTTACTCCCTCCCAACATCTCTCTCCCTCCCTTTTGAAGAAAGACAAACAAAACCCTTGGAACACAACCACAAAACGAAACAAAACAGAACTGCTGCCTTGACCTTTGCGTGCACGCTGGACATTGAGCGTATCCCCTCTCTGTCAGAGGGTGGGTGGCACGGCTCTTTTCTGGGCCACTGGAATCATGATTGGGCATTGTAATGAACACTGTTCTTAAAGTTTCCAAAGCCATGTTTCTTTACAGTATGCTGGAATCTGCTCACTTTCTTCCAGCTCACGCTTGGAACCTTTCCTTTTGTCATTTCTTAAGAGCAACAGTAGTACATCACATGCATAGAATGTACTTTATTGAGTCACTTCTTGGTTGATGGACACCCCTGTAGTTAACAATTCTTTTTTATAACAAAAAAACCCCTCTGCTATGTATATTCATGTACGTCCAGGTCCTTTTCCTCATTCTTTGGTCTTTTTCGGGGGAGATTTGATAATTTGTGGTTTTGCTGGGTCCGGAGTTGCATAGTTTAATGACTTGGGGGGCATAATTCTAAAGTGATTTCTAGAATGGTTGGAGTGATAACTGTCATCAGGATAAGCATTTGTGGGCTTGTTTTTATACAGCCCCTCCAACACTCGCCATTTTCCTTTCTGGTTATCTTGACTAATCTGATGGATGTGAGGCAAAACCTCAGGGTGTTTTAGGTTGCATTCCTCTGATTATTAGTTATTTTAAGCATTTTCTTCTTATGACTTTTGGTTGCTTGTATTTCTTCCGTTGAGAACTGTCTGTTTGTATCTTTGACCTTTTATCTATTGGACAATTGCTCCTGTTCTTTTAAATATGAATTGATTCCTTTTATCTTGGCTATCAGCCTTCATCTTAGAAACTTGCTGGAAATATATTTTCCTAGCTAACCATTCCCCTTACAGTTTTACCTGCATTGGTTTTGTTTATGCAGAACCTTTTACAGTTTTGTAATCAAAGTTTGCCCTTTCATCTCCCATGATTCTCTCTATCTCTTGTCTCAGAGTGAATTGTTCATTCCCTTACCCATCATCATAAAGGGTAATTCCTTCCTTGCTCCTTAAATGTGTCTTTGATGTGACTTCTTTCTAGCTGATAAGTCATTTGGAGGTTATGTTGATGTGTGGTGTGAGATCCTGGTCTAAATCTAACTTCTGCCAGCTCGCTTTGTGCTTTCCAAGTCGTTTTTGTCAAATAGGGGTGATGGTTGCCCCAGCGTTGGCATCTTTTGGTAAATTGAACACTACAATGCTGTGTTTGCTTCTATGTTTCTTGTGACTGATCTGCTCTCTTCTCTTTTTTCTTACTAGGTTGCTGAGAATGATGGGAAGTGCGTGTAGGATGAAATACAAATTTTTGGAAAGCCCTTTGGGAAGAATAGAAATTTCAGGATGTGAAGCCGGGGTGCATAGAATAAAGCTTCTGGAAAAAATGGTTCAAAGACCTGAGTAAGTAAATGTGCCCTAACTCCATAGCCAGAATATGAGAGTCACTGACTGATGGTGCAAAGGAAATGGGCTAATTTGTGGTTCATGTGCCAGCTTTCCTTGGGATCTCTGCAGCTAAGGAGGGATATGGGCCTGAGTGAAACTAAATGTGAGGTCCCGTGTTTGGTGTGGAAAGGTCAGCTTCACACATGGAAGAAGGGGAAGACATGGCTAGTTAGTGGTTCAACCAACATCCGGCTCAGGGTTTTTAGTGGCCTGTGAGCTCAGGTTGGACCAGCCGGGGCACAGGCGGCCACCAGAGTTAATAGGGAGCTTGTGTTACATTAAAAGAGGCCTGGTGTGTAGGCTGGTGTCGGTCAGCTGGAATGCCACCCCCTGCCCCTTTGTAGTCCTGTGTTCTGTTCTGGGTGCCCCATTTTAGGATGAGCTAGTTGGAGAGTGCCCAGAAGAGAGCCTGGTACCACCATGGAGTGATGGGGCCTCAGAATCATGCTGTGTTGAACCGAGGAGTTCACAGGAGCACATGTGGTAGCCTTTAAGTGTTGGGTGGCTCCTGGGGGGCAGTGGCTTCGCTGTATTCTGCTTGGCCTGAGAAGGCAGAACAAGGAATGATAGGTAGTCTTTATGGGGCATCCCATATGGACTCCATGTCAGGCAAAACTGCCTAGCATTGAGAATTCTCAGATGTGGAATGGATGTCTTAGGGAAGTGAGGGCCCGTCCCAGGAGGATCTTACCTGGCGTCTGGGTCAGGAGAGGGGGAGCTGGTCCTTTCTTCAGGTAGGGCTAGATGCCTTTTGAGGTGTTTTCCAATTTTGTAGTTGTAGGATTTAGAGCCCCAAAGGGCTTCCAAGTTAGTGCACTCCCAACTCCTTCATTCTTTAGCTGACCGTGGCTGAGGGGCAGATAGGGGCAGGGCTGTGTTCTGGGCCGTTCAGGGAGGAAACGTCAGAGCTGCAGTCCAAACAGCCCTGCATTCTAAAACAGGGCAAGCTGTCTCCCAGAAGGACACCCTGCACCGTTCTCTCCTTTTGTTTTTCTTCTCTTTCCCATGAAAGCTTCTGCCTTCCGTCAAACTCTGGGAAATAATCTATATTAAGCGTCCCATGTCTTTTGGTGAAAGTCTGAATTTACAAAGGGTTTATTGATCGTCAGCGTGTGGCTCTATCAGGAATCATGTGGTGGGTGTCTCCTCAGAAGATGGGGACCGCTCTTGCTTGTGGAAAGGAGTGAATCTATACTGCCTGGGCCTTATTTAAGTTTTCTTGGTGAATTTTGAACTCGGCTAGCAGATCTCAGAGCTGAGAGGCTCCCCCTTCCCCAAGGTGTTACCAGGATTCTTTGTGTTTCTGCTGCTCCGTGCTTCTCACTGGGGCTCTTGCAGGAGGAAAAGGATGAAATTTCATCTTCTGCATCACTTTAAAGAGACTTCCACCCTGTAAGAGAAAGCACTTTTTTTGAGCGATTTCCACTATATTTTTCTAATCGTAAAGACCTAAAAATTTTAAGGCTGTCCGTAAATGTTTGTGCTGAAATGTAACATTTAATCTCCTCCATTCATTGATGGGCAATAGTTGTTAAAATCTTAGTTCTCATTATTTCTGACAGGAGGGGAAAGAACTCAGCAGAAACAAACCCACATCCTTTCTTGCTCAGTGTTTGCCTTAACCGGCTAATAAACGCAATGCCAAGGACATTAGATGAAGAAAATACAGGAGAAACATAAACATTGATTTTAATGGACCCCTGTCAGAGAGAACCGTAATGAACACAAGGGCAGTAATAAATATTGGTCTTCCACTCCAGTGTCGAGATTTTTCCTGTAGAGTTGCATGTTACAATCAATAGCCTATTTTTTTTTTACAGCAAAAATAAGCAAACCTTTGAAATATATGAATACACAGTTCTGAATTTCTGTGCAAGCAATCTGGCTGCTGTGCTTAAAAAACACCTCACGGAGCAAATCATCTGTCTGGGAAGCCCTTACTTTTGTCTCCTGGCGGGCGGTGGCGCCGTGCAGTTAACCAGAGGGGGGGAGCCTTCACCCATTCGGGGGTGACTTCTAGGGTTGAAAGGAAGACATGCACGCCCAGAAACACCGCCTATGGGGAGCTCACCACTTCACATCCAGGCTGCAGCCATCTGCTTGATGCCAAGGCAGGAAATGAAGGGTATTTTTAAGGCTGTATTTTAATGGGACTTTTTAGTTTTCTAAAGAGCCTGATTTAAAAAGAGGATATTTGATTCTTTCAACCTTCCAAGCATGTATTGAGCACCTTTTGTTCACAAAGACAATTCAGTTAACATTCATTAAGCACCTTCTGTATGCCAGGCACTGTGCTAAACACTAGAAATACAGAAAGAGGCAAAAGACCATCCCTGCCTTCAGGGAGCTTCCATTTTAGGTATTTTTCAGTATGTGCAAAATACTTAGAATAGACTTTTTTCAGGAGAAGTGGTAATAATTGATGGAGTTGGGAAAGGAGTCTTGTTGGAGGTGGATGCGGGAGCCTTGAAGTGGGAAGGGGATTCAAAGGGAAGGAGACTGTTGGCCTGTCTGTGTTCCTGATGGCTGATGCTTTGGTTAATGTTGGATACTGGTCTGGGTTCTGGTCAAGGTGTGTTTTTGGCTTTAACACATGAGTGGGTCTGTTTGCTGGCCTTGTGCTTTGTGCTGAGGAGTAGAATCACAAGAAGAATGAATGGAGGAAACATTCTGTAGCCAGAGGGGCTGGTTATCCCACATTTGAGATTTATGCACCTGAACAAAGAACCAAGAAAGAGTTTGAAAAGCAGCCTCTTTCTGTTGTTTGTAAAGATGGTTGCAGATGCTTTGAGAAGAATATACCTTTGTTCTGGTGACATTGAACCTGGAGAGACAGACCTTCTTAGTGCCAGAAGATGTGGGACTGAAAGGATGGGCCTGTTGAAAACCTTGCTCAGTGACTGGCTCGCTCCTGCCCTGAAGCCTTGGGCACCCTGTGCTGTCTCTGTGAGAGATGCGTTAGAACGTGAGCTCCCTGAGGGCAGGGGTGGAGTTTTTGCCTTACTTTGGGATCCTCATCATGAGTGCTCAGTAAATAAATGCTTGCCCACTGGTTGTGAGCTGGAGCAGTGATGAGGTGACATGTGAAATTTCTAAAACATGCAGGAGTTTGGCTGAGGAGAGGCCCCCACCAGCTCCTCCCCCTGGGACATGAGGAGAATTGCAATCTTTACTTTTTGTGCCTCTTACACAAATAGTTTACAAATACTTTTTACAAAAAAGTCCAAAACTTTCTAAATTTAAAGCCGAGTAATGTCCCAAATGGGATTAGCCTGACAGTCATCGTTTTGGCATTCATGGTCTATCAAATCCAACAGTGAATGGAAATTGATCAGTTTGTTTTAATGTTACCTGTTTTTACTTTTTCTTATAAATGGAGCCATAAGCTGCCAAAGTTCATGTTATGTAGCTTCTGTTGTTTCGGGTGCTTTTTAAATCATAACTCATGATGATGTCGCATGTGAAGGGTATCTGAGTGCTTTCAAACTCCTCCTCCATACCAGCATAGGCTGGTCCAGGTGTCTTCAGACCCAGTAGGCCTAGCTCCTTGTGTAAGTAACCTCCTTCTGTGATCTTCTTCATGGATTTCTGCCAATGAAGACTTGCTTGGATTGGATCAAGCTTCTTTCTCAGAGCATGGGACCCTCGTTCGCCCCTTAGTCTGAGGCAAGTATTGGCCAACGTGCTCTGATTTCTCTGTTGTGTTGTAGAAATGGTAGACTCTGCGGACACTCAGAAGTAAGTCTGTTAGAGGATGGGTGATGCCAGGCATGGCTGCCATATTGTCTGAAGGATGTGCTGGGCAGAATTCCCCACAGACCCAATGTCAGAGTCATTGGGCTTAAAGGTTGGAGGAGGGTGTGAAGCAATGGCCCGAGCTGGTCATGCTTCACACAGGGAGTGGCAGAACTATACCTGGAGCCCAGTTTCTTTTAATAGAAGATAGTTTTTGGTTTTGTCCTGCTTTAATTTCTCCTTGTATCTCACCACTCCACTCCATAGGGCCATCACACATAACAGGAAGAAGAGAAAACCAATTAGTGCATGGGAAAAAGCAAACCTGAAAAGCAGTGGTGTGCTCCATCCCTGTGGCCTTCTAGCCTGTGCTCTCCCATCTCTTCCATGGCACCATGTTTGTTCTTTGTCGTTTCTTCGTCCCCTGGTGCCTTTGTGATTGGCTCCTTCCATTTATATGGTGGTGTAGTTGTCGTGTGTGTGGTTTCTTGGCTCCATTCGCTTCATTTGGCCTCAGTTCATGTAAGTCTTCCCATTCTTCTCTAGCATATGTATCCCTATTGGTTTAGCCATTCGTTCCCCATTCAAGAAGGGAAACCAAGGCCTAACTTACTGTAAATTCAGAGTTTATTCTCACAATGCTATTGAGAGTCCATGGAGCCTTGGCCTGATTGGTAAGATGTGGCTGATTATTATGTCCTGTCAGCAGCAGCCTTTGGTTCTAAAGGTTTATTTTGGGAAGGGTGATTGTCTTTACTGGTTGATCAGAGGCTTGACTTTGGGGAGGTGAATAGAGCAGGTAGCTGGGTCCTACAGCAGTGCTCGGTACTTAGGGATCTCCAGGGAGTGTCTATTCTGTCAGCTCTTACAATGAGCCTACTCAATTCAAGTCAGTAAACATCTCTTAAACGCCTGTTGTGTGCCAAGCACTAATGCTGAGAACACAGAAAGAGACAAAAGACAGTCCCTGCCCTTACAGTCTAATGGGGAGACCAGTGCAAACAAATATTCACAAAGCAAGTTGTAGACAGGATAAATAGGAAATAATGAACAGAAGGAAGTAGCTGGAATTAAGTGGGATTGGGGAAGGCTTCCCTATAGAAGGTGGGATTTTAGTTGGGTCTTCAAGGCCAGGCTGGTCAGTAGCGGGAGTGGAAGAAGGGGAGCATTCCACCGGTAGGGGACTGTGGGACTTTGAGAGATCTAGTGGTCCCCTTTGA